CCCCCCCGGCCCTGGCAAGGGCCTTCGGCGTTTGTGCCCCCTTTTCTTCATCATTTTGTCGGTGCGTGTGTGCGTGCGGGGCCCAGACGGGGAGATGCAGGACAGGGGACGTCGTGGTGGCCGCTCAGAGAGGAGGAGGGGGGGGGGGGGGGTATACAGGCGTTAGGAGCTCATTTCCCGGGCAGCCCCTCGACGGCGGTCCTTTCGAAGGGAGGGTCATTCCGGGCACCCCTCAACAAACCCCCCCCCCACCCAGGCTCGCGGTCTTTCGATTAATATGGCGTTTATTCCGGGCATGTGTCCCCGGTGCGTGCGGACGTGCAGGAGCGCGCCACGCAAAGGGCCGAATCACAAGGCCGACCACGTGAATATCAGAACCGGATCTTCTGGATGAGGGCGCCGTTCTGGTCGACCTGCAGCGCCGGGTCCAGTACGCTCCGGCTGAAGTAGTCCGCGATAACGGAGAATCCATCATTGGCGCTCTCGAGCTGGATCATCGCCAGGCAATCGCAGGGCATCGGGAAAAAAAAGAAAGAAGAAAAAGGACCCGGACGGACGAGGCAAACGCAGGAAAAAGGTGTCAGCATCACCGGAAGAAGGGGAAGGGGGAAGCGCGAACACAAGGCGCCCAGCCAAGGGGAGGAAAGAAAAGGAGGAAGACCGAAAGGGCAGCAGCAGCAGCAGCCCCCCCCCCCCAGCTGCAAGAAAAGACAAACAGAGTCTGCCGCCAGGAAGCAAACACCCGGGAGCACAGCAGCCGCGCCAAGCACACTGGCACACATACCTGCTTGGTGAATTGCTCATGGCGCTGGGCACTGGACTCATGTGCATGGCGCAGGTCGAAGGCCGCACGATTGTCGGTCATACACAGCAGGCACTCCAGGTTGTTGGGCGAGCCCGGGACATACACCAGCCCGGACTGCCCGGCGCCAGCCCCAAAGTGGAAGTCCTGCCCGATGGCCCCCTCCACCTCACCAAGGCACCGCAGGTGGAAGGCATGGCCACAGTAGAAGTGCGCCGCCGGGAGCTCCAGCGGCAGGGTGCAGGCACCGCACTTCTGCTGCAGACACATGCGCGGCTCACTGCGGAGCTTGTTCACCTCCGTTCGCATGGCCTCGGTGGCGTGCTCGTGCTCGGCGATGGTGGCCCGATCCGCGTCGGCGGCCGACCGCTCCTCCAGCAGGACCTTCTGCAGGTAGGCCCGAACGGCTCCGAGCGACACGGCCGGCTGCCGGGGAGCATTGCTCCCGCCACCGGTCGTGGTTGGCAGATGGATCGGCGAGGTCAGCAGGCGGACCACCTCCAGCGGGGGAAGGAGGTTGTGCTTGGAGATGACTAGCCATGCACAGGGGTACGCGCGCGTCAGAGGAACGAGCAGCAGGACGAAAAAAAAAGTGGGGAGAGAGAGAGGGAGAAGGGACGGAGACAAAAGCATTAGTATGTGTGTGTGTGTGTGTGATCAATCATAAGGCCCCCCCCCGGGGAAATACCCGGAGGCAAGCTTTCCCCAGATGGACGCCCTTGATGAAAGGCCATCCCCCCCCCCCGCTCCCGCTCCCCCGCTCCCCCGCTCCCCCGCTCCCCTCCATACGCACTCTGCAGAATGTGGGTCACCTCTGCCTCGCAGGCAGGCCCCTGCGCCGCGAAGTAGCTCAGCACCTGCGACCAAAGATTGACATCTGTGTCGCTCGGGTGTGCCCCATAGCTGCTCAGGACGCTGCCGGTGCTTGTGACCGCCGCCAAGACTGCCTGGTGGTCGCCCCGGGCCATGTGATGCTGGATGATCTCTCGCCGGAGGCCAAGGCGCTCATACAGGCAGAGAGCGCCGGCCGCGAAATCATACGTCCGCACCAGGACCAGCGCATGATCCACATCATACCGGGACCGTGGGTCGCGCAGCAGCCCGAGTGCCTTCTCCTGATCCTGCTTCATGTGGGCCTCGCGTTCCTGTCGTCCGGGGCGGCAAGTCAAATAGCCCGTGTGTTTAGTATGCGCGTGTGAGAGATCGCCGGATGGATGGACACAGTGGAAATGGATGTATATATATATATAAATATATATGTGTGTGTGTGCGGGGAAGACGCGCGCATCACGTACCTCGGGCGAAAGATCACTATACTCGGGCGAGTCGCGCTGGGGACGATGGAAAGATGCACTGGTTATGGGATGCCTGGTGAAGGGTGCACACCGAAAAATGGGGGAAAAAAAAGAGAAGTTATCTGGAGACCGGCCAATGACGCACCTTATCCTTCAGCAGGAGCTCCAAATAGGTGTGATACACCTCGTGGCCAACTTCCACCTCGGCAAAGGTCTCGGACTTGGAGGCCTCGATCATCTTCGACAGGAACTCCATCAACTGCGCCGGATTATCGACAAATACATGAAGCAGATCCGCGGGGCAAACCTTCGGCACAGCCACCGGCACCGGGGCACCACCAGGACGCTGGGTGCCGATCGGAGTCGGGTTGCTCAGCTTTGTCAACGACACAATCGGGGGCAGATCATCGTCATCATCGTCGCCAACTGGCACCGGGACCGGACGCGGCACGACGACCGGATCCTGCGACTGCGGCACAGGCAGAGCCGGGGCGGCGGCCACAGGCTCCGGGTCCTTTTGTCCGGGCGCCGGCGTGCCGGCGCTCCCATATGACCGCGTGCGATTCTTGGACCGATGGCGCGAGGAGAATTCCTCCTCATCCGGAAGCGGCGTTGGCTTATAATCCAAGCAAAGTCGGATCAGAAGGTTGGTTGCCGCCTGCGGGGCGTTCTGCAGGAGTGGCTTACCATACAGCTGCACCATGTACAGGGCCTGGGGGAGGGGGGGGGGCCGAATGAAGATGGACAGGCGCAAGTGTGAGAAGGAGGAAAGCCCCGCAGAAGAGGGCGCACAAAAGCGGGGGAGCCTAGCGCACCTCCTCGATGTCAAGCGATCCAATGTAGGCAATGGCCGCCGTGTAGTCAGCCAAATCATCCAGCTGAATGCGCAGGTAGCTGGTGTGATGCTTCGCCACGCGAGCCAAATGCAGGGCATGCGAGTAGTGCCGCGCCTGGCGACACACGCTGATCGCCGTGTCAACATCGAAGTTGGCATGGTCGGTCTAGTCCAGACAGGAGGAAGAGCCGGGAGAGGTAAGTGATTGAAAGGAGAAGAGAGGGGGAGGGGAGGGGGAGCAGGACAAAATAGGCGAAGGATACACACCATCAAAAAGGCATCAAGTCGGGCACGCCGGGCCTCGTCAGTATCGCGACCGGTTCCAGACAGAGCATCGTCATCCAGCTTGGTGTAGCAATGCAGCAGCAGGGCAGTGTGATTGGACGTGGCGATCCCCTGCTCGTGTAGGGCCTGCAGGTACTGCGCCAGGTGGTTGGTCTGTTGGGCATCCAGGAACTACATGGTGAAATGTGGGGAGATGTCAGTCATATACGCCAGCGGCGAGAGAGCTGTGTGTGTGTGTGTGTGGGGGGGGGGGGGGGGGGAAGGGTGGCCTTTGTATGTACCTTGCGGATGATGTATGACGGCTCGAGATAGCCCACCGTACGCAGGTACTTTTCCATGGCGTCGTCAAAGTCCTGCTTGCTGCGAAAGACCAAGCGGAGTCAGCATCGGCCAGGCGGTTGGGCGTGAGTTGGGTCAGCTACTGGGAGGGGGAAACTAAAAAGAGACAAAGTGAGGAGAGAGGAGTGGGAGTAGATGGTCACCAACCTATACAGATGGTCACCATAGCGCCGATAGATGTCAGCCACAAGATCCTTGTCATAGGAAGCACCCGCGCCACCAGCCTGCGAAGGGGCCGAGCCACCGGGTCCACCAACGCTGGTGCTTCCAGCCGACGGGGTGCTGCTGGTTTGCGCCAGGTTGATGGCAAGGGTGAAAAGGTTCTTCCGATACAGGTACTCCAGGCGCGAGGCCAGATCCAGCTCGTCAAACCGGTGGATCTTGTTGTTACCCGTGATGACAAAGAGCGAGCCCCACTCATGTGCCATGAAGGCGACGCTATCCAAGGTGATAGTCAGGGCTGGATCATGGCGTCATCATGAAGGAGGGGGTCAGTGGTTTGAGGAGTGAACGATCGCCTCTCGGGGGAAGGCGGTGCATGTATGCAGCTGTCGGTCTGAAAGAGAGGAGCATACCGGAGAACTTGTTGTTCAAGTCGTAGATGCTCAGCTTATGCTTGTGCTTCGAGCTGTGGTCATCGGTGCCATGCTCACCAAGGCTGGTGGTGGGCCGCGGCGTGTCGCGCGTCACCAGCACCAGATACTGCTTGAACCAGCCGACCAGCTGCTTGGGGTCCTCGAAGCCAAGAGTGGCACCGCGCCCATGTGCCGTATAGAAGTATACAGCCTGGATTTTTTTTTTTGGAATTTGCATTGCCGAGTGGGGGAGTCATCCCGTGAGAAGGACGAATGGAGAGGGAGGAGGGAAAAAAAAAGACCCAGAGCATGGAGCAATGTAAAGGCGACGCAAGGCACACACCTCCGGGCGAGCGATGACAATCTGGCGGTTTAGGTCCGGCTGACCGCCCTCCTGCGAGGACGTGAGCGCCACACAGCCATATTCACTTCCAATTTCACAACCGGCCTCATCCATCGAAGACTACATGGTCGGGTTCGTCGAAAGGCATATGTCCATGTCAGTGCCGAGGAAATGCACAGCAAGTGGGAGGAGGGAGGGAGGGGGGGGGGGGGGGGGGAGGGGGGATTTCCCCTTCGCACGCACAGCAACCCGCGGCCCGGTCGGAAGGACGGAATAGATGTTGTTGGTCGTCACAATGCACAGCTCGAAGGTTAGCTTCGGCTGGCCGTTCGGCTGGCGGAACATCCGATCGCGGTACTCCAGCCCTGTAACCGGAATAATGCGACGCTGCCCCGGGGTCGAGGCCATCTGCAGGGCCGCCGGACAGTAGAGCACCGCGAGGCGCGCCTGGAGGGGACGTTCACGCAGCAAGTCGCCACCCTCCTTCTTCGGCGAGAAGTCCACCACCACGCCATTGGCCAGGCCAACTGAGATGTGATTCACATCATCCCGACAGGCAAGGCAAACAACCTGTCCAAACAGCAGGCAGGCGTGGCGGACGGGCAGCGAGAGCAAAGGGGAGAAGATGAAAGGGGGAGGGGGGGGGGGTAGGGGAAGACCGCCATTTGTCTGTGTTAGAGATGGCGACGGCTCTTCGTCCAAAGGAGGACGGCAAAAGGATCCCCGGAGGGGGTGGACAACGCGGGCAGGCGACACGTACCGGCATCGGGCGGTTTTCAAACAGGATGTTCGCCTGGCTGATCATGGTGATGGGCGCCGAGCTGTTGGTCGAGGACACAATCCGGCTCAGGTCCCAGATCTTGAGCACGGGCTGGATGCCATCCGTGTCGTCCTATGGGCAGGGACATGTATGTTTGTGTTGTTGTGTCAGTCTGACGATACTGCCCCCCATGGTTCCCATCGAGGCCCGCCGCCCAAAGGGGGCATGTGGAGCCGTGAGGGGGCGATTTTCCCCTGCCGAAGGCAACGTACACCGACAGTCACCAGGATCGGCCGGAGGCGCGACCGGAAGATGTGCGTCACGCGGACATTGTACGCGGGGAAGGAGAAGACCGCGTTGTTGGTCTGGGCATCGAGCTCGGCCGAGTGCTCGGGCGAGCCCGAGCCGACAGCAGGGCCCTGCGGCTTTTCGAAGCCATTGTTCAGCAGATGCACATAGCCTTGGCTGTCGCCGAGGACCAGGTGGCCGTTGCCGGACCCGACGCAGGTGACTTGCAAGCTCTAGGGGAGCAGAAAGAAAAAGGAAGTTTGTTGGTTAGATTAAAGCCTGGCCCGCAGGAGGGGAGGGAGGGGGTGGGGGGACAAGAGCCAATGGCCTCAGGACCATGTACACGCATATGCATGCATACGAAAGGCACGTACCTGGATATCGCGGAGGTTGCCAGACCGGATGATCGCCGCGATGTCGGTGGCGGGCGAGGTGTTGAAGAAGGTGTGCCGTCTCCAGTTCATCATCTTGGCGGAAGTGGGGCCCGGCCGGCGGCGGCGCGTGAGAGCGACAGGAGCGTTGCCCTTGGAGTGTGTTGAGGGGTGTGCACGTCAGGAACAGCAGCCGGGGGAGCCGCGCACGACAGGAGGGCACAAAGCAGAGAGGAAGGGGGGGGGGGGGG